AAAATATATATATTTTATAGTTTAAACTTCATGAGGAAGTCTATTACATTGCACTGGGGACGCAATGAAATTGAGCATGTTGGTCACCAAAAAGGTGTGTAAAGAACAAAATAATATTTAAAAGGCATTTCATTTATATTTGAATAATGGCAAACATATAAATATATAATTAAAATACTTTGTTGTAAATATTTGGCACATTTTCAAAAAATTATTGAAAGCAAAACATGGGGACATGGAATGTTGCCGCAAAAAAAGAATCACCCATATTCCTATTGGAACACTTTTCTAATAAAGTAAATATCAATAACATTTACACACACAATTACATTTAAAATAAACCTAAAACAAAAATAACTAGAAAAGTAGAGGGAGACATTTTGTCCAACATCCATCTCTTGTATGAAGTCAAAGTCTTTGCATTCAACATATTCAGCCACTATAATGAAAGTTTATAAAAGCATAATCCAAGATAGGACAAAGATTACAGAAAAGTTTAGGGGAAGTTTTATGAAATTGTTACAGACCTGAGTTTGAAATATCAGCTGAAGCAGCCATTTCATTTGTTTCACTCTATCGATGTTTCTGCTTGTTGTTTATTCTCACAAAACCTGTTCCTAAATGAAAGTAAAGAGGGAAGAGGGAATGTTATTGTGCTTGATGGTTGGTTGATTAAGTCAGAGATCATCATCTGCTGGAGGACTAGAATTACTGCATTTCTTCTCTGACAACCTAAAATGTCAACGTCACATTTCTTTGAAACAACAGCAGTTGACCAAATGCTTCACATTTTGCACCAACCATTTTAACATAAGACGAAGATCAAAATAACAAAAATAAAACAGAGATATTTAACAAAAACAACTATATTACAATAAATAAAAATACCTATTTTACAATAGAAGTGTTTTTTTTATCTATAAATAAATAGTTTTTATCAATTAACAAAGAATAAACCTACTTGGTCAAATAAAACATAAAAATAACATTTATGCATTAGAAGAATTTAATTAAATGATGAAGCAATACCAGAAACCATTACTGATAGAACTGCTTCTCTGCCATGTTTTATATAATTTTATATTATACAATTAAAAGGGGACAAAACAGGATGAAATAAGTAACAAGCAAAACTATTGCTACCAAATTACTTGATATAGCACAAACATTTTTAACAAGAAGATAAAAAAAGTAAAAGACATTCTTTCCTCCACTTATTATCTGCTTCAGTGTTTCCCAACCCTGGCCCTCCAGGCACACTGTCAGGGCCGTGCAG